CGACTGCTTTTGGCAAAATGCCGGAGGCAGACGATGTTCGGGCCATTACTTTGCTAAATTTGCTGTCGGGCATTAGATTTTATGTTCAAAGTGGCCTAGAGCTCCCTTTCCTCATGAAACATTAATTTATCTACAGTGTTCGTGTTACGGAAAGTTTTTTTTTACCCGAAACACTCACATAAACGCCTATGTGTACAGAATGTAGTAGCAGAACATGTGCGCCTGCTCTAGATATGTACCTTTTGTAGAACTGCTCTCTTCACAATACCCACTGTCTCTCAGTTCTGAAAATATTAAGGGGCTCTAATGTAAACTTTGAACTCCAGCATTAGCTTGTGAACCAGAACAACTCGACTCGAACTATATAGAGTGGCGAACTGTCCAGACTGTTATTGCTCGTGATATAAGAAATATTTTGCAAGTATGAGTAGCGTGATTTTCCATTGACAATTCGCATTGCAACAGCATCACATCCCTAACCAGTTCACGGTGCTGAATAAAATGTTTTGAGATGATTAAAATACATCTACACGATAAAACCGTAGCAAGGAACACGTCTTTAATCTTGTTTTAGATTGTTATCTACGAATATAATAAGCTAAAGCTACTACCGACGCCTTAGCGGAGCCGCGGCTCAGCGACCGCCAGGGTGCGGGTACGACACACACGGAGCATGGCAGGTGAGTGATCAGTGATGCATACTCGGCAACGTTGCCCCTTCGGCAAAAGGTCAGTTTCACAATTGGCCTAGGCTCCTCGAAGTCGAGTTCCTACGCTGAGCAGTTAGTATTTTTATTCTTATTCACCGTTCTGTATTTCTGAGGTTAGAACGACCGTGCAACGGTATTGGGTGTCTGACCTTAACACAGGATTACTTGCACAAGTGAAACCCAAGTATGCTCGAACGCAGGGCCACTTAACAAAAACCTTCTTTGTCGCCGCATAATTTCAAGGATAAAAAATTGCGTTTTATTTCAGTCTCTTTTTCGCAAAACAAACTTGACGGCATAACTGTGGGAATCGCACATTTACGTTGTCAACAATGTGATCCCCAGGATCTTATCATTAATCATTGCGATACCCGAAGTGGCGGCATTTAAATGCGGCTAATAGGCGCTGCGCGTGAGCGTTGGATTTGGGCTTGTGACAGTCATTGCCTCGGCATGCATTCGAGTAGTGCCTTGTGCCCAAACACTGTGATAACGGGAATAGGCGATTATTAACAATGTGTGCGACTCAGCGCCTGCCCTGCCTTTTCCCAACCACGTTGCGGCGTTACGATAAACACTGGCTGCAAATGAAGGCTCCCGATCACTTGGCCGCTTGTCTGGCTGCGAGTTCAGGTTAACGCTGCTCGTTCTGAAATATTTTTTTTTGTAACAGGTAATGCGTGGAGAAAATATCTATAGCTTACGTATTTATAAGTTATGATTGCACAAAAATAATTATAATTTGCATTTAATGAACGTATAAAAATTGCTGCATTCTCCATTTATTTATGGTTCATATTGTCAAGAGTGGTGACCAAAAGAACAATAAATAAACATTTAATGTGGCGAACTCCCGCCCAAAACAAAAAGTCAATAGAAGATAACAACAGAGCGTCACGGACGTCGAAGTCGGCGGAACAGCAGGATGGAGCGCTGGGCGAGACTGACTGTGGCTTGCCACGCGGAGCACTTTTAGTGCACGCGTGGGCTTCTAAAGCAATCTGCGTAGAGGGTTCAGCGCGTAGAACATACTAACCTCGAACCAACAACACGGTTCTCGAATTTACCAGAACATCACATTACAGACTCAACAGGAATGTGTACCCGCGGACAGGCTTTTTGCGTGAAAGGCAAGCGTGATAACCGTTAGGCCACGAGCGCACTGACTACTTCGTTTGCTGCGCGTGCGGCAATATTTTTAATATCCTTGCTCAGCAATTTTCACTTGGGTTAGGGCATGCATAAACACAGTTTTATTTATTTATTTTTTCACGCGGTTCTCAAATCGTTTTGTCGCTTCGAAATGATATGGGCTTCAGGTTCTACTGGTGTCCGATTTTGGTGAAAGTGAAAGCGAGAGCAATATCTGGCTGATAATTTAACGTTGCGGCACAGTTTTCTACTGTGCGCCTGTAATCTACAAGGGAGAAATGTTTACCCTTTCGCCGTTCCGCGATTGGACAGTATTTTGGTGAGAAGGTGTCATCAATACCTAAATCACGAAAGAGTTGTCTCGAGGCCTCTGGGATGCTCGTTCGTAGTATACCTTCATCCACCGGTCGATGTCAGCTTGAGTACAACATCAGAACAACTTGAGATTTCAAAACGAAGCGTGAGTTTCAATAGTTTTCAACATAAAAAAAAGCAGGCGATCTCAATTTCGACCTGCATCCGATCTCACTACCTCACAGCTCTCGCTGCGTAGAAGACAATCCACTGTCTCTCGGTTTGTTAGTGGACAAACTGTCTGCGAACAATATTATAGCATGCTTCGTGAGAGGCAAATTACATCTTTCTCTCTCTCTTTCTCTCGCGGTGAGTAAAATCTGACAGCCTAAGAAGTTTTTCCGACCAAGTATTTTTTTTTTATGAGGTGTGTTGAGATGTGTTTTCTTCTTTTGATTCTTTCTTTCCTGTGTCAAGGAAAGCCGAAGCTTAAATGCATGTACATACAAATATATTCTTAAAACGAACTAAAAGAACACGATTGTGCAAACACTAAAGAAAAGCGGCTACTGAACTCTTATCACCCCAAGCAAAGTGCACTTAAAGGCACCCTAGCTTGGAATGGTGTACACACCATTCTAATACTTACAAAACCACAGCCCAGCGTGCGATCTCCACAGCCCAGCACGCGTTTGTTTTAGCTTCGGAAAGCGAGCAATGCGAGAGACGCAATCGCTGAGAGAAGCTCTGCGTTCAGCGCCAGCTCGCTGATTTCCGCGGTGCTTTGGTTGCGCGTGCACGCCTTTGTCGGCAAAGGCAGAAAAAGTGTGCAGAAGTTTGGCTGAAGGCAGAGTGCTGAATGTAGTATATCTGGGGCACCCTTCTCCCATATGGACGGTGCGCGTGGCATACCGTGGAGGAGCCTTTCGACTAGCGAGCCTAGCCCGTTGTCCATCGCCGCTCCATCGGAAGAAAACACGCACATACAGACAGAAGTGCAGAGCGGTCGAGCTGAGAACCAAATTTTATACCTAGTGTTTGGGCGTGTGCATTTAGGCTGACTGTACGCCGACCAGTGTACATACAAAGCCTTGTTTATGTTTGAAGATGTAGCTTTAAGGTAAATAAGGTCAGAATGCGTCCGGAGAGCCTGTTGAACCGCGTTCCTGGGGGCACCGACTTTAGTCGTTGAGTGCTGCTTTCGCTCTCGCTGTGTCGAGTCCTGTGTTAATTCTATTCTCGCCTGTGAACCAGTATTTTCTCCGTCCCGCGATCCATACACCTCCACAGAAAGAGCCTAGTGAGCGTCGTCTTTTCCACCAGCGAACACTAAATGAGCTTTACGGCACGTGTAAAATTCGTTGAAAACTTTCAGGAGCTCAGCTCGCAATATTTTCTAGAACTACTGTCTTCGTGAGGTTCGGAGACTTCGAACTTCGTGAGCTTAGGCTCCGAAAAAATCCGACCTTCCAAAGTTTTCCATAATTTCGAATTTGCTTGAACTTCTCAAGCCAACTCGAAGTTATCAAATTTTGCAAACCTCAATCTTTCAAAAAAAAAAAAAAAAAAAAGAAAGAAATTAAACCATCGAATTTGAAATTTTAAAACTTCGATGACTTCGGACTTTACGAATTCAAATCCGGGCAGCTTCGTAGGTTCCGAACTTAGCGAAATTGAACCCTTGGGAGGTTTGAAAGGCTCCCGAATTGCCGAATTCGACCTTCGGGAGGGTCGTGACATCCCTACTTAAAGATTATTATACATTATTTTATAGTTATCATATGTTCTTATATGATCCTATTGATCGTTTGCGTTTATTAAACCGAAATATTTCTCATAGAAAGAATACTTTTCACTGGGGTAAGATTTCGTAACATAACATAACGTAAAAGAAAAATTGGGCTGTGGTTCCTTTCTGTGACGTCAGGACATCACGAGTTTCGATCCTGGTTACTTATCACAAGCTTCTCAAGACAATTTCAATGGCGTGTCAAAAAACCGCGGCGGAAGCTTCCGAAAGACTGCCCACAGTTGGCAGCTGTCCACCGTGCCCCCGCAATGCCGGACTAAATCCGCAACGTCTCGTCGCAGTATATGCGTTTGGTTGGATCAGAGGGCAAAAGAGTGTCCACAGAAAAAGGTTACGAGCGCAGTGACGTTGTACTTTCGAGGATGTGTGATTGGCTCGTCGTCTCCTAGCGTTGGCCGCGCTCAGACGTTCGGTATCTTACAAAAATGACTCGACCGTTTCACGATGTCAGTTGTTCCGCTACTGTGCAGTGGTTCCGAGCTTCTAATTACCCGCACGTGATACTCGAAAGGGGTCTGTTCTGAAACCAAAACGGTTCAAGTTGACAGACTGGCATTACTTCTATTTCCTCCGATTAACGATGAGTGCCTTTTTTAAGATATCATATTTAGCTGTTTTCCAAGCTTGAAAAGCGGACCACCGCTACGAAAAGCCAGAGCATCCTATCTAGAAAATAGTATTGTTAGGGTGATTTTCGGCCAGCAGTCAAGAGGATAGGACATGATGGAGACTGAATATAGATTACATTTTATGAAGTCCGGGTCTTCACGAGGACCTGGCGCACAATAGTTTTGCCAGCTTTTACCACACCGTCTTTATTTGATAAAGACATCAAGATATCGGTCACAAATATTAGCCCTGTTTTTCCTTCAAAAACACTTTGTTAACCCTTCCAATTTTTGATATCCTGAGAGATATTACTATCCAGACTAATACAAATGAGAAGAGAAAATCGGTCCTAAAAACAGCCAGAAAGTAGTGAGTAATATGTACACAGGTCGTTACCTATACAATTTATGAACTGGAGCACTCACATGATAGTCTGTGCAGAATAAAAAATATCTTGATAATTTTCATAATGGCTTAATGAGAATAACAAGTCAAGTGGATCGGCTTGCTGCGAAACGACGTTACTGTCCCTTCGTTATAAAATATGTTCTACCCGGATATTGCTTTTGTAAGCCTACTCTTAAAAGGTCGAACTGACTGCAGAAAAGCACATAAGCACTCACTCGCGAATTACGAAAAAATGACATTTTAAAATAAAAAAAACCTCAGATATAAATGCCACTATATATTCTTCCCCGAGACACTCTCACTTAAAGAACACACGTGCCCAACAAGCTTTCGAGTTGAGTCGATAATTGGAAGGGGCTAATAATTACTCAGTAGTGAGAAACAACAGAAAAAAATAATCCTTATTCGAAGGAAGTCCAAAAGGTGAATTGTGCCCAATGCAAAATGATTTTCAAACCTATGATGTCGACAATGAGAACAACAGAAGAAATATTCACAAAACGTTGAGATCATGGGTTGAGTTTCTGGTCTTCCCGGTGGCGTGGGAGGCAGGTTCCGCTCCAATAGTCTGGAGCGTGGTGGCACGAACGTCGCTGAGTGACGGGTCGACGCACTGCTTGTAGAGAACTATGTGCATTTATTTACACTAGTTGCAAGTCTCAACTTGGGAGACCATCTGCTTCGTCTAGAGTCTCGACCCCAGTCTCCGGTCTCCCTCAATCGGATCCAAACTCCAATCCAGATCACTCCCTGCCAATCCTCTCGGCACTCCTTTTGTACGCTCGCAGGGTCCTCCTTTCCCACCAGGGACCGACCAATCCCTTCGAATTCCGCCACTCCCACGTGGTACACCGTTACGCAATGGTCGGCGAGCTGTCAGCCTGGCGCTTCAACCGCCAAAACCAAATTCCTTCTAGAGTCGTTCCCTGCATTTTCCCCAGTCTGGTTTGCGCCAACAGCTAAATTATTACACCGGACAAAAAGCGACAATCTGACACTAAGGGGCGAAACCCTCTATATACAGGCACACTCGGTTAAAAGGCACAAACACCTCCAAGCGCGGGCTCTCCCAGTCTCTGTCCGAGCAGACTCCCGAAACCCGAGACGTTTCTTAAAGACCGCGGGGGTACCGCTCCAACCTCTCGGCCGCTCTGCCCCCGCAGATGCTCCCTCCAAAACGCCGACACCAACATAGGAAGCTAAAAAGAAAACAAAAAAAAACAACAAAAAAACAATACCGACGCAACTTTGGATAAATAAACGTTTCTAACAAAAGAAGACACCTTAAACAATAAACAGGATTTCTAGATACCAACTTGAAATGCTATTGCACTAGTCTTGAACGCGCGCGAAAAGCGCCACCGCGCGGCTCCTTACAGAAGCCCTTCGCATAAACATCGTGCATAGCAGCCGACCTTAGTTTCTAGTAAATGCCAGCTTATCTGTGCACAGGGCTATGCAAAACGTTCTGGAGATCCTTTTATTACAAAAGAGCTGGACATGAGCTGGCAAGAAAGGTCCCAGTACGTTAATTAGATACATCAAAAAGCAGAGAAAAATCTGCGAAGAGGAGAAAAGAAAACTTCTCATATAGACTTTATCGAAAACAGGCACTGGTGAATATCGTTCAGTAGTGATTTTCACGATGATCGAACACACAGGCGCTTCACAGGGGCATGTTCGAGTGCCGATAAACAAAAATTGAGCAGTCCTGCGCTACTGCAGCGTTTGGTCACGACGATGGCTGCGACAAGTCACGTCGAGGTTGTTGGACGTAGGTGTCTTGTTTACGCACCGTGGGGTGAGTGAAAAGAAAAGCATTCAGAACACAATAGACATCTCAGAATTTTGTTCCGAACGCTTTTGTTTATTTTTTGTTCCGGAGCGCTTGAAAGCACGTGTTCCTTCAAGAGCTCTTGGCATGTACTGTACTTTGCTACAACCGCATTTGGTTATCGTTTTTTTTTTTTCAGGGAGCGCGTGCAGTGGGCGTTGGGTACAACAAAATACCTAAATACGCGGAGCCCAAGTTCGTCTGCTTCTTTTGCAGGTGTTGCGGTGACGTCAGAAATACGCCGAGCTCTGATTGGCTCTGATTGAAGGAGAGTGGGTAGACCTCAAATCAAGCCGCTTTGAGGTCTACCCACTATTCTTTAATCAGAGCTAATCAGAGCTCGTCGTTTGGATGTCATCATAACCCATGTAAAAGAAGCAGACGAACTTGCGCTCCTCATAGTGCGGGTTCTAACGCTCTGGCATATCTTAGTGGTAATGCCTCCGCTTAGCACGCAGTGGACCCAGGTTCGAAATCCTGCGGCCGGCGGGGGATCTTTTTCCAGGATTGGAACATCAGCGATGGACGCTCAAAATTGCCAACTCCAACTCTACAACATGAACGGTAACAACCTTAAAAATTACAACATTAACAAATACAACATCATGATTTAAGACAGTCCTGAAAGAGGGGAAACAAGAAGGGCAAACACGATAAAGTCTCATAACACAGCTGCGAATTAATTTTTCTGGCTCGTCCTTTTTATAAAACGACTATCACTAGAACTTTCTACCGTGAACCCCACGATACCCGTCGGATGGGCAAGACCCAACTGCTGTAGGATTATTCGTCGAAAGACAATTCGTAACAGGTCAACTCGTAGCAGGGCAATTCGTCGCATAAGGCGATTTGTCATAGGGAAATGTGTAGAAAGGCTATTCGACACCTTATTAAGAGCTGTTATGTGTTTACTTTACGCAGTTTATCGAGTATATCGCTTCAAAATTATTAATTACGAACGAAGGTTCTCCCTCATTTGGTATGTTGATTTGTAGCATATGTTTAAAATTTGGCTTAAACACTCTACTTTCGCAGTTTGCGTTGTCTACTTATGTGAGTATAGACCTTTTTCCCAAGGGCGCCGCCATCTTGAATTGTCGTCACTTCCAGTATGGGCGAAAACGGGTTCCGGAAATAATGTCCCCGGAAGAAACTTCCCCGAAAAAAAAAGGCCCTATTTGGAAAGTAGGAAAAAATATTACCTAAAGGTTCTCTATCGCTGTGTTTTCCGCGATTCTCATGACCTTCGGGCGGTCCAGTCATTATCCGGTCACAAATGACCTGGCCCACCTAGAGGTAGAAAGGGAGACTGGAAGTCACACACAGCAACGGAAATAATCGATTGTGGGGTATTTTGGAAACCAAATTATTGTGTTTGCCAAAACCAAAACATTGTTTTTTGTTGTTCTTTTATTGTGAAATAAACATTTCTAACACTTCTAGCCAAAACCAAATTAATGTGTTTGGGGAAATTTGAGAGGTACTTGTGTACCATTTCCAAAGAGGTAAAAGGCGTGAGACTGTTAGCACCAACACAAGATCGCTAGTTTTTTTTTTTTTTTTTTTTTTCCACAGAAACGAAAGGTTGTCATCAAAGTTATCATAGGAACTGAAAGTGCTTATTTGACGATATAATGCAGACGTTAAAAATTCCCTTCCCATTAATCCTCTTTTTAATTAAAATGGGAAAATGCCCCGATGTTGTGTTCGCGCTAACTGTGTCGCGATGTGTACCTCGGGGAATCGAATATTTCCTTATTTGCTGGGCCGTTTTTTTTTTCTGCTTGCCACAGGGTGCCTTTTTTCCCAAGGGCATATGACCGGACCACCCGAAGGCCATGAGGGGCAGAGAAAACCCAGACAAAAACGATCCTTATGGGGACATTTTTTCCCTCCTTCCCACGTGGGGCCTTTGTTTCGGGGACATTTTGTCCGGGGACTTTTTTTCCGGGGACATTTTTTCCGAGATACATTTTTTCCGGGAACATTTTTTCCTAGACCCGGAGAAAACATTATTTTGCCGTCGCCACGCCAATAAAATACATTTAAGATATAAGCGTAACTGTTACCCATTTTCGTTTCGCCTCCCCTTTCTTTTTTTAATTAATGTAGGTTGAAATGTTTTATTATTTTTTCCTCGCCCATACCGGATACGCCTATTAGGTGGCTGGGGACGAGCGTATACGAAAAAACGGTATATACGCCACAGCCGAGTTTTAAATATGTTTCAGTAATTTTTGATAGGCCAACCACACAGGTGTCAGAACGGAACGTGGCGGCACACCGTCTTGCGATTTCTTCAACAAGGGTTGAATCTTGTGCAGCATGAAAAATGTCAGGCCCTTAAGAATTCGAATGAATTGATCAGTATCCTGGAAGGAATTCATGGAAAGAGATGTTCGGTAGTCTGTATGGACATAAAGGACTTATGTTATTCGCTAGAGAAGGCACGTCTAATGTAGAGGGTTCGTGAGGCTTTGGAATTAAGTTTGGTTCATTTTTAATCCAACTTAGGAATAACGGTGGATAGTTTTTTGTCAATTGTGGATCTGCATCTCCAGGCAACGATAGTCGAGTACAATGAACGCAAATTCGTACAAAGAGATGGCGTATGTATCGGTTCATCTGTTGCTCCAATGCTAGCAGAAATATGCCTTAACAACGCGGATGCTGCCGTAACGGATAAATTGAATTGTTTTTCATCGAGTACGGGCTTTGTAAGGAGATATGTCAATAACATTTTCATCTGCTCATTTCGCGAAGAGGATATACTCAAGTTGGAACGGACGATGAGGGGAGCGGCGCCGGAACTTAAGTTCACCTTAGAAATGTCGGACAATGGTATTTTACAATTGCTGGACTTACCCATTCACGTGGAGGTATGGGGGTTATGTTGGGGGGCGGCGGAGAAAAGCTCACCGGAGAAAAGCTCACCGGAGAAAAGCTCACCGGAGATAAGCTCACCGGAGAAAAGCTCACCGCAAAACCGGCAGATGCGGAGAAAAGCTCACCGGCCTTTGAGCAAATGCAAAGAAAAGCTCACAAATTTTTTTTTTTTTAGCTTAGCGGATTTTGCGTGAAACATGGCGCATTCATTACTCCATTAAAAATATATCCTCTTTTTTTGTAATATTCTTGAAGTTCATTGGAAATATTTACTAATTCCTCAGAAATTAGTAATCACCCATTCTGTATATTAATGGAGCCGCAAGTATGAAATCAGAAC